TCACCGATATCTGGGGTGGCTTGAAGCCAGATGCCTGTGCATGCAAGAGATATTGAGTGCTAATGAAACTTTCCACATGTCTGTTATGCCGAGAATCTCGTTCCCCATAAAACTGGGACCAAGTTAACCAGGACTAATACAGGTAACTATACGAACAGAATGAATAAGCTCTTCTCCCTCCAGCTCCGGATAGGAAAACTCACGGGTTTTTTTGCTTTTCAAAGTACGACTTGGGGATTCTATTTTTAATTGAGGGGCCGGGGGGGGGGGCGTTCAAGATGATTCACAAACTTTAAAAATGCAACTAGACGAACAGCACATTCAAAGGAAGCCTAAGGCACCCTGACCTTTTCTATAATACACCTCTAAAGGTTAAGATGACACCATGCTTCTCATGGGTATGAAGTTAGAAAGGAAATCATGTTGAAGGCTTACATGACCTTTTACTGTGCATGAGTTTCAAATATACACAAAAGCAACAGACTACACACAGCTACCACGATCCTTATTTTCACTCAGATGCGACACCTTGGCTATAAAGGAATAATTGATTTTTTTAAAATCAATGCTGCGTGTTCACATTCAGAAACCCAGGGGCTGATCTAACCAGGCACTGAGCACCTTCAAGCATCCTGACCTCAGCATGAACAGGATCAGGTGCCAAGGTACTTGCAGACACTATTTTTTCAAAGATAGAAACTTTTCCACTTAAAGCTTTGGGGAATCTAACCAGGATAAAGACGGCTGTTAATACACTGCTGAAGCCAGCCCGCTTCTCTATGAATTCCTTTTTCAGGCTGCATAAAAAGCTATTGCCAACTATTTGGGAGCATCTGATTTCTTTTTGAAGTGAGCTACTTGAAATGGAGCACATACTTCAGCCACAGGAAAAAAAAAGAGAAAATTTCAATGCTACATTTCCAAAGCATCTTCTATTTTTAAGGTTTATTTTAAGCCCCTAGTTCCAAATTGAACCCCAGGTATAAGGAACTCCACACTGCAGTAAAGGAGAGCCGTAAACTTGTACGTAAGGGCCAAAACACGGCCACAAAATTAAAATGGAAGGAAACACTATTCCAGCAATTATGAACACAACACGAGCTGCTAGAGCACATGCATATTGGGGTAATCAGTGGCATTAGTTGGATACTTGCTTTATTAAATATACGTTTAGAATGTGACCGAAGTGGTCTTTCTTTACACAGTTCTCTGCCAATAAATCATTTGACATAATAAATACAAAGCAAAGAAATGAGACAGAGAAAGAGAGGGAAAAAAAAGGAATGGTGGCTTACCTTGATGTAGCTGAGAAATTCCATTAGAAAGCTATGAGACTGGGTACAGCAAGGAAAATAATTATTAATTCAAATGAATAAAAATGTAATTCTTTGCAACTCCAACTTATTGAGAAAAAAAAGGCATTATAAAAAGTGTTCCCTAACTGTAAGTATACAAGATGTGCATACCCATGTGCGTGTCCAAGGACCAATTTTGATTTATGAAATGAGAGCTAAGGCAGCCTATGGAGTTGAAATGGTTTGGTCTGAGGATCATCGGTACTTAAAATTAATGTTTTGTTCTTGTCAAAGTAGCTAAGAACCATCCAGTATGTGCACTGTGCATCCTTATGGCACAACCAGTGGGCAACATCTCCTTTTACACTGCATTACTTTTTATATTGTCTAATAAATTACATCAAGTTCTGCTCCCTAATGTAGATGCGATTCCAATTGGATGCCGCTTGCATATACCAGAGGGCAGAATTTAGCTCATAACATTCATTGCATGTACAAATGACCCATTTTTTTCAAGCTTCAAAGGCAAAGGACACCCATTAACTTGAATATCGGTTGTGGGAGACACTGGGGCTCAGAGCCTCTAGAAATTAAGCTATTTTTATTCAGTGCCTAACTAAGCATTTAAGTGCATGTCTTGAGACACTGAAGTTTATTACAAACCCATGTGGGACAGAGCATGTGGTTGCAGCAAGTACCAGGATGTCACAGTACCTTGTGCAGAACAAGGCAGAAAGGCACCTGGTTTTAGCTACATTAACATTCCTATAAAACTGAATATCTTGGAGCATTTTTACTTAATGGGTGTTTGGAAAAGGTACTTTATCAGTCACATATGTAACAAAACAGAGGTTTTAGGCTGACAGCAAGGAACCCTTGCCCCAATTTCTTAAGTATGTAACCCTCCCTCTCTGCTCCCATGGACACAGCTTCCCACCAAGAACAAATGAACTACAGTTGTGCAAGCCTGCTTAAAAGGAGATTGCTAATGAGACAGCTTTACTTCAGCTGTAAAACCATCTTCTAAAACCACCTGTGGTGCTACAGGACACAGCTAACTAACTACTGCAGGTCACCTGGAAGGGGAAAGAAGCCTGTTTTACCTGTATCATACTCCTGGTAGGACTTTGCTACTTACAAGTTTCAAAAACCCAATCATACAGTTTAGGGCTAGATTTTTTTTTAATGCCAGTTGGGGTTGGATTTGCAAATAACTAATAGGTGCTAGGCATCCAAACCCTACTTTAAAGAGGAGCCAGGCATCTGACTGCCCTGTAGGTCTTTGAAAATACACCTCGTAGGTACTAACTCTAGGTGACTTCTATTTGGTATTAATTAGGCACACGATAAAGAACTCCTGGGGGACAGACTTGGCTAGAGGGAGAAAGAAAGAAAAACAATATTCTTTGCTTATCATAATCCTATAGACCAAAATCTGTCTCTACACAAGCCCTCTGGCTGTAGGAGTAGGACAACAATCCAGTCGCTTGGTACTTGAAACAGATACGCCAGAGTCAAATGCATTCAGTTGTCAATACATGAGAGGTGCAACCTCCAGGCCCCTCTTCATTTTACAGCAGTTCAAATTACAACCAGGAAAAACACTAAACAGGGAATCCTGCCTTCCAGAACAGCGCTGTAAAAAAATGTTAGATAAAGTACCACATTTTATCAGCAGCGTCCAAAAACAAGTTTTTATGTGGCCACAGAAGATGGGTGTTATGAGCCCTCTGCAGAGGGTAAGGCATTAACAGCAACAAAAATCATTAGCAATGCAGGGCGTACAGTGGCAGAAATGCAACCAGAAACATTGGGGAAAGGAGCATGCTAAAGCTTCATTTTATAAACCACATTTAAACATCAGCTTTGTTTCAGTTTTATTCATGTGACACCTCTCAGGGATTAGAGCTGGGAGTTAAAAATGTATTCGACTATCAATAGCAAATTGGAAGCAACCCTTGTATTCAACATTACTTTTGCTCCCTGTTACCTGGCACTCTAATAGCGTGTTTTGTGTGTGTTGCAGGATTGCTGATTTTAGGAAGGCATTTGGGTTAAAATCAGTCTAATCCAGCCCTCTTGCAAAACAGGCAAAGCCCCACTCATTTATATATTATAGGCTGCATTTATTCACATCTAATTTTAAAGACTGGAATCAAGTATTCTAACGCTCCCCAGTAAAAACTCTAAATTGACAATTATTATATATGCACATACCTCTGCTGTTAAAGATGCAAGAAAAATCTATATGCACACTCTGAATTCACCCAGCTAAGTGCTTTTTGCAGGAGATACAATGCAAGAAGGATCATTTATATAGCCACAATGAGCCACGGGGAGGGAGTCAGGGATTCTAGCTGCAGAGACAGCCTAACATACCTCTTCTTCAGTCATTGCTTCTTCAACACCTTCCTCTTCCACAATAAAACTCTCCTTCAGCTTCAGGTATTCTTCATACTCCCTCTGTTCCTCCTCCTCTTTGGCCTTCTTCTTTTCCTCTTCCTGCAGAAAAATGAGAGTGGTCAATTCTTTCCTCCCAAAGCCACGAGGACCTCCATTATCTAATTGCCTTCACTAGGCCAGGCCCAGAACAGGAAGATTTTTCTCAAAACTGCAGCTTTTAAATTCTCCTTTGATTGCCTCATTAATTTCACAAGCTGTTTGGATCCTGCCATTTTTTTTTTAAAACAGTGGCTGACTAACGCCTGGCAGCACAAGCTCAAAGTTAACTGATGTCCCTGGGCTGGCTCATAAAAAGGTCCGATGAAAAGAGGTACTCTTATATAGCAAACAGCTTCCTCAATTTGCATGAGTGCGTTTCTTTTACAATGTGAGTGGCAGGAAGTTCCTGCCCCCAAACCATACTTTGATGCAATTTAGCCACGTTCAGTTATCAGCCCAACCCTGCACTTGCTCACACCAGTACAAATCAGAAATAATGACAAGGGCCTACTGAGTTACACTGGTGTCAAACAGGAAAGAGAAAGAATTGGGTCAATAAAAGTGTCCTTTTGAGGATGCACAACAAGAGCTGGTTCTTTGCAGGGGACAGGAGGAATTGCATGAAGGATCTGTTTTAGGAACAGAAAGCAAGGCATGGCTGTACCGAGGCAAAAGTTCTCCTGGGTATTCTGATTAGCCCAATTCTGCTTTTAAATCATTTGTAAGAAAAATACTTCTACCCCAGAACCATTTGAAGACTTGTGAGTTGTAGGCAAACAGCCAGCGCATCTCCAAGCAGCACTAGCTCAGAGGAATCACCACCGACATACACAGATGGGAGAACCAAGCTATACATATGAAGCCGCTCATACTGGGAGGTACTGTGAAACTGGGGCAGAGGCGAGACAAAAATCTCAAGGATCCATTCTTAAGAGCACATCGTTCTGCTGCTTTCCAAGAGATTTTCATGCATTTTAGGACTGTTCAACTTCAAAACACAGCAGGCGCTTTCTTTTTTTGCTTTGGAACACAAAACACATGCATCAACATGCTATGTTTGTATGGTACTGAATTAAACCACGCTCTGACTGAATCAGGCCCTGGGAGCTATCACAGTAGAAACGTTAAAATTCAAAAAAGTGTTTTTTTTCTTTTTAACCCAATACCTGTGCATTTTTCCTTGGCGAGGCCAGAGGAATTAACACCACGCCAGTATGCAAGCAATTTTTAAACAATTATGCCGTCTTTGTTTCTAATTGCTTATGGGTCTTTCTATTCCATATTCCTTAGCTTTGCAATTATACAGTAGTCACTTCTCAAATTGGAGGGAAGTGGAACAATTGCTCCGTAAGACCTTTTGGGGTTTTTTTCCTTCCCTTTTTTTGACATGGAAATCTTTATCACGAAAGGCATCCTTAAATGCATGCACTAAAGATGCTATTTTGTGGCCAAACCATGTAGGATAGACTCAGGACTCTGGAACAAAGCATGAGATGCTAGTGCTGTAGCACAAACAGCCAGGAAAGTGTTTGTGGCTCCAACTCTCTTTGATCAGATTCAAAACAGACTCACTTGTGGGACTGTGGTGGTAAAGTGCATGTATGGTGAAAATGCGACTGAGTAAGGGCACCTCATTACTTCACAGGTTGATCTTTTTGGGCTTACAGTCGAGCAGAACAGCTTTGATGAGCAGAAAGGCTGTCAACCTGGCAGCTTTACTGCAGCTTGTGAGAGCAAATGGGATATTTTCTTTTTCTGGGCCATGCAACATTTTAACAAAAAGCCAGCTGCAGAATCTTTAGCATTGGTGAGGCATGAGCCAGAATCAACACCGACCGGCATTTGGGGCCTGTGCTGAGTCAGTAAGTGGGGGGAAGCACTTTTTCACTTGCAAACTCAGCAAGTTTTGCCGGAGAATTACTGAAACAGGACAAAAGTCCATCACAACCACAACTTTGTCCCTTCCCATTTGTTTGAAAACCCAGACCCTGCCTATGATTTTTGGATTGTGCATGTATGCAAACCTGCTTTAAGGGAAGGGAAGTGACAGAATGGAAGACTTCCCAGGCAAAAATCCAGAGGAACTGCTCTTAAAGCAAATAAAGAAAAGGGCAACCTGACCCATTTATAACTGAGAGGTGTATTAACGGAGCATCGCTGTTCCCATTTCTAAAAGAAGCTGACAGCGAAACAAACCTTGTGCGTGTGAGATACCAAGACGTGTCCTTGAAGAGCTGTGCCTCTGGTTTCATGCAGACTAAAGCCTGCCAGAGTATTCACACTGCAGTATGGGCCTCTGTACTAACACACGAGGCAAATGCACTGTTTTTGGTCTCTCTTTATGACCTGATCCATGAGTACTCCCCAGACCTGAGGTCCTTCTGGCCTGGTCTGCAGAGTGCTGCCCGGCGGTCTGAGAAGCTGCTTTGGTAGCAGCAGCAAAGCAGCTCCCAGCCCCAATTCTACCTATTAGTCACTGCTTTCTCTAGGATGCTTGGAGTTTCCAAAACAAATTGAGCCTAAAATCAGTCAGAGCTGCTTCACGAGCGCCAATGAAAATTCAACCCCCAGGCAAACCTGTGAACACATAGGGAGAAAAGAGACAAACTTGAAGAAGCTGGGGGGGGGGATTAGAGAGGGGTTAAAATAAATGCACGGAGGGAGACAACAGGCAGCAGAAGTGGAAGCTGGAAGGGAAGTGATGCAGGCCTGTCTGCTGACAGACAATAGCTTTCATCTGGCTTCTTCCCTGGCGTCCTAGTCATCACCTTTCACCGCCCAAAGTGCAGCCGTGGAAGGGGGAAGGTGTGGGAGGTGCCCACGCAGGCGTCCGTCTCGCAAGCGTTCCACATCAGGAAACCCTCCAAAGGCCGCGGGTTTCTACTTGGTTTATTGGCCATTGAAGACATGGCTATATCCACGTCTGCTGAGAAATAAACCTGGCACACTCATGCTAAGCCCACAGCACAAATAGCTCGAGTGGCCTCAGTGAGTCAGAGAGCCCAAGCACAGCACTGGGCTATGCATGCACTTGAGCCAGGAACTGCCTTACTTGTGGGGCGCGTCGGACACGAGCGTGCTCACACTCGCGTGGGATGAGGGCAAAAGGGACACGGACCTTCAGTCCTGGTCCTTATTCCCAAGGCTTTGGGAAAGGGAGGTGGGAATTCGGGGAGAAATGTTTCTGTATG